CAATATTAAAATCATTTTATATTATATACTTAGTATATAATATAAATATATAATAGTATATATATACTTAGCTCTCTAGTGCTATACTTAGCTCTGCATGTTCACAATAAATTCATAATAAATTGCCCTTCCACTTAACTGATTGGAATAGATAAGTCTTAGATGTTTCTGCAAGTTATCAGACTTACTAAACTAGTTGTTAACTCCTTGCTTCCAAGATTTATGTTGAAGAAATCAGGAGGAAGAATAAAGTGAAGACATTTCAGCAACCAAGCTCTAAATGCAGTTCTAAATACTAGCTTAAGTATGTTAAATCCTTCACTTTGTGAGGCATGGAACTTTGCTCTGGGGACTCTTGTAGTTGTTGAATGAAAACTACTTGGGGATAGAGGTCTTTTTCAATATGGGAAGATTTTATCTCCTGGTTTCTAAAGCAAATGTTTTTGGGAGGCTTGGGGCAGGGATGCTCTGTGTTTGGGGCGACATACTTTATATCCATTAGAATTTTTGTGCAAAGGGACTGGACTGACTGGTTGTTCAAGTCAGCAAATGTTTGTGTTCTCCACATGCAGCCTGATACAACTGGGAGCATACAGACAGGATATACACTTGAATTTTAGTTCCTACAGTTGGGATTTCAGATTGTTCCCATTTAATTTAGTTCTCGTCCATTTGTTTCTTTAGTTTCGATGTGTGTGGTTTGGTTTTGTTTGTATTTTAAAGTGTTGGAAAACAGGCTTTTGCAAGCTGTTTGTGTGTTTGGAATTATTTTCTATGATGCTTTGTGCCTTCTTTATTTTTCTAACCCAAACTAGTGATAGCAGATGCCTACACTCCCTCCTGCTAGGGTAACAAACACCAGGACTGTCACTCAAATACATTTAAGGTGGTAAGTCATTTGATGCTAATGCTGCTTCTTTTCTAATTAGGTCATTATAATTGATAAATAGATGGTATGAATGTTTTCCTATGTAGTCAACATCTGTGAGATGAGTTGGTTGGTCATTCAGAGACAAAAGCAGGCAACTGAATAGATGGCTAGCTGGGAACTAATGAAATGCTGAGCAGGGAGCTGCACAGAGCTAGTGAATGGAAAGTGTTTGGTTACCAGGCTTTGCCTGGCATTTGGCTTGTGTCTGTATCTCAGTGTTTAGAGGCTATCCCTTAATCCTGTTATGATTTAGAGCATGAGCTATTGCTGACCTAGGCCACCTGTATCATATATTGAGAACTTTTCTTCCATTTTTTTTTCCTCTTACATCCAATTTAAAAAAGATATCTGTAGATGTTTAGTTTTGTTTCAAATTTAAGGCTGCCAAAATCTAAACCCTTTTTCTGTAAAAACAAAACCAAACAAACAAACATATAACCCATATATTAAAATAAAAGTTTTTAGCCCAAAAATTTCTTTACAAACTTGGTAAAGCAAAATATGGTTGGAAATAGAATGCCCTTTCTCATTTTACTTCCTTTGCCTTTCAAATGGTAAAACTTATTTTAAGGAAAAAAAAATAGGAACTTTTATAAGAAAACTTTTTAAATGCTTATATTTGGTCTCAGAAAAGCAAACATCCTGTAGCAGGATCTATCTAATTTCTCTTTTTAACTCTCACAGTTACTGTTCTTAAATAAAGGTGACAGGAAATAGTAGGTACTCATAGCTGTCTTTGAAATCCTCCTTCCTGGGGATGTTGTGGTTAGGATGGATAATGCTCTGAGAAAATCAAGCAGAACCAATGCATAAAACCCCTTACTGTATCTGCCTCTGCTCTGTGTCTTCACATGCAGTTATCTCCGTGATTTCTCTCATAAGGAATGAGCTCATCTTGATCTCAATCTCATCACAGTATTCAGCCATGCTTTCCCTGCTTTTATCAAGTACTCTGCACTAAAAATACTTGCATTTATTGGATTTCTTTACTCTGTCAGATACAACTATTCAGATTACTTTTGTATATTGAAACTGCAGTCAGATGACACTACAAGATCTGAGGGAAGCTGAACAGCAAAAGCATTTCTGGAATTTAGTCAGGTTCCCATGGTGATTGGTGTGGCGTAATAGCCTAGATTAGAGCTTACGAAAATGAATAATAAAATTTGTAATGGGGTGGGTATAGTGTGAGCAATCACCATGCAGATTTTCCCACAGATTCCTGCTGGCATGATGTTCATGTTTGCTTACAGGATTGGGAACAGCGGAAGTATTCAGAAATGCTAATTTACATCAGGGGAAACAAAAAATCTCTGCCAAATTCTGTGGCCATCAGTCAGGTGGTTAGCATCTTAAAGAGGTTTACATTTCTGACATATGTTTTTATAATCTAATTGACAGTGCTTAAAAAGTCACTAAAGATCAGTGGCTGAGAATCTAGAAGATAACTGAAAGACATGGTAGGTGCTAAGAAAAATTGTTTGCTGCACATCAGAAAGGCAGGATAGCTGAAAAAATAAGAGGATGAGAAGGTTTGGCTGTATTTTTCTCACAAGTATTTGTAATTGCTATGGAAGTCTGTAGTGCCCTCATTTTGTACACAGTTGTATTGCTTCTGATAATTAAATGCCACTGAAGCTTGCTGCTCTTAAGAACATATTGTAGCTCCAAAAATCATATTTATATTTAAAGAGGTGGAAGAGGACAACTGAGGAATTAGTCTCAGTCCTTGAAGAAGGTTACAAACAGGATGGATTTAATAACATGGTAATTAATATGTAAGTGACAATTGGCACTTCCTAAAGTTTACTTAACTACTAGCAGCAGACCTAAGGCTTTTTGCAACGTAATATTTAGCTGTCATCCAGTGGCTGAACAGAAGTTGATGCACCCTTTGTTTAGAAACTCAGTAGGGATAAAACTTTCTGATTTGCTTCACCTTTTGTTCTTAATGTGTGTGGTATCTTCTTTAATAGAAAATGGTTTCTCAAGTTATCTGTAAAATGAAACATTTATAGTCAAGGTGGCTCTTACTATTGTCAGATCAACTTAAGTACCTTGGATAAGCATGCAGAAAAGATTCTTAAAATACTGTTTTCTGTTCTACCAAACATGGGTAAAACAAATAATGTAGAACTGGATGCAAATTTGTCCTATGTAGGACACCAACAAAGAACATAAACTTGCATGGCTTTTTTGTGACTGCTATCCTAGGAAAGGAAAGCGGTAAGTATGTTGGGAATAAGAAATTTTGTAGCCTTTCAATCCATTAAATTGTGAAAACAATTTCCTAGTCTGCAACAGTTTTTTAGATCTTGCTTCTTAGGGATAAAACTACATGATATACATCAGTCAAAGTGCTGCAGAGAAAAAAAGGTGTGAACTGAGTTTCCGTATAGGAATTGCTGAGTGTAAATGCTGAAGAGATCATTCAGAGGAAGAAAATCCTGTACTCAAAATCTTTGTACTTGAGTATGTCCCGCTGACTGTGGTATGTTCACTTCATAGGTAGAAACTTTTCATCTGTGCAACTTGATTCTGAGTTCCTGCTGTAGGAATACGACCTTTTTTAGCTTTAGTTTTCCCAGGAGGTGGAGAAAGCTACGTATATGTTTGAAATGTATTTCATTTATAATTTTAGAGTTGTTACTTACTGCTTGTATTTTAATAAAGTACTGAAAGGGCAGCACAAAGCTGCACCTTAGTTTTCTACCTTTGATAGTAAATTGACTTCTAGTTGCTGGGCTTTATACTAATTACAGCTGTCTAGTATTCCTTAACAAAATGTTGTGCATTACACTGCATTGCACTCCTGAAATCTACTTACCTGGTATTAAATTATCTGAAACAAAAAGGAAATTAACACAGGATGATGAAAAACATCACATCAATATAGAGAGCTCAAATCTGTGATACCAGAACACACGTGCAAAGGTCCTCAACTGGGACTGAGAGCCTGAGAGGACAACAGGTATTTTGTACAAGTGTTCTGTAAAGTTATTTTAAAAAAAGTTTTAAACTAAATTATGTTGTATGTGTTAAGGGTTTATTCCCAGTGCAAGGGGCTGCAGGGCCGTTCCTTGCTGTAAGCAGTAAATTCCTGGCTCTGTGCTTCTAAATACAACCTCGTATTTAAATCTTGAAGTTTCCAGTTCAGTGGAACAAATTTTATGGAGAGGAAGAAACCCCTCTGTACGGAGGTTTTGATTATCAATTTCAACACCTCAATGCCACAGTAAGAGCTTCCACTTTACACTTAGGAAGTGAAATACCAACAAACATTGCTAAATGCTGGTCTAGTTGCAAGCTATTATTCTGGGCCCTGTGTCACACCGTTCTGTGCTTTACCATGCTGGATGAACGCCAGGGAATGATGCCACGTTGAATCACAAACTGCAATTGGGCTCCAGTGCTGGAATTGCTTTCTCATCACCCTTTTGTTCGAACAGGATCGCACAAGAACCAAACGTACGGGACTGGAACAGGTTTGCTTTGTGATGAATTCAGCAGAGCCAACGCTGTATGCAGGGAGCAGAGCTCTTTGATTCAGCCTCGAGAACTGCTATTAAATCGTTGTCGATAGGGTGGAGCTGCTGCTCAGCCATTTCAGCATCACCAAAGGGAGAATGGTGTTCCACAAGCACAGTGCCGCCTCAGAGGGAGAGTGAGAAGGCATTATAACACTTCTGGGCCTGCGGACAAAAGGAAAATGGAGAAAAACGGCACACGTTGAGGTTGCTCGTGTAGGGCCGTGTGAAGCTGAGAGCTCGTGTCTCTTCCCCCCTTTTATCCTCCCCTCGGCCATTGACTCTCTGTGCCCCAAGGGAAGGGCACTGCCCCGGGGCGAACAAAGCGGGGGGAGAGACAAAGGCGGCGGGAGGAGAGGATGGGGACCGAGAGAGGAGGGGAAAAGCAGCGCCGGAGCGCGGCAGGGGGAGCGGTTCCCGCTGCTGCTGCAGTCCCCGCCTCGCGGAGCCGCGAGCCCGGCAGACGTTGTCCGCCCGCCCCGCCCCGCCTCCCGCCCGCCGAGCTGAGCCGGGAGCGGCGCCGCAGAGGGGCAGGAGGAGGCGGCTGAGGGGAAGCGGAGGCGGCGGCGGCGCGGAGGCAGCGGTGAGGCCGCCGTTGGGGCCCGCGTGCAGAGGGCGGCGGCGGCCGCGCCTGAGGGGAAGGGTGGGGGGCGCGCCTCAGGGCCTGCGCTTCGGGCCCGCGCCGAGGGAGGAGGGGAGGAAGGTCCGCGAGGCGGCGAGGGGACGGCGTGAAGCGGCCGTGCCGCTGCGGCTGCCGCGAGCCCCGTCCGCACGTGCCCGGCGCTCCCCTGGCAGGGCCGCGGGCGGCGGGGGCCGGTTCGGCCGGTTCCCAGGCTGCGTGCCGGGGCTTGCCGAGCTCACCCCGCTCCTCCGCAGCCCTCGCGGGGCCGGCGGCGCTCGGGCTCCCGGCTCTGTGGGTGGGGGGATGCGGGCCGTGCCCCGTCTGCTTCCCGCTGTGTCACTGCCGTCAGTGCCTCGGCACGACGCCGCGCTGCCTCACCTGCCCTGTGCCTGCCGCCTTTTGCGTTCCTTGTAACCTCCTTGCCTTAAAAATAATCGTTAAAAAAAGCCAAAAGTCCCTGTGCGTATCTCCTGTGGAATAGCACGAGGCGGAATATTTGGTCTGGGATTGTGTCATGCTTAAAAATATGACTGTAAAGTGAAGTTTCCCCCCCCCCCCCCCCCCCCCCCCGCGCTCAGTCAGGCAGAACGCAGGCAGCCTTTGGTGGGGAGTTGGGGAAGTTCGGGGGCTGCTTCGCATCGCTGGGCTCCCAACCTGTGAGCGTGTAGGGAGAGGGAAGAAATGCGGGAAAGGAAAGAGCTTTGTGCCTCCTGCTGTACAAGTACGAATTTGAAGCGCAGAGGGACACGTGTGGCAGCGTCAGAGCCGTGCTCCTGGGGCCTGTGTCAATGCACCTGCTGCTGTGTGTGACACCATGGCAAATTGCAGGCAGGGGAGGAAAGGTAAACTTCTTTCCCCACCGCCCCCCGTTTTACCACAGAGCATTTTATTCTGAGGAACGCAGAACTGTTCAGGTGCTGACAGAAATCCTTCATCGTGCAGGGAATGCGGAATGACAGGGAAATGGGCGGAGGTTTGTCTCGGTTTGAAGTCACGGTGTGTCCGGGTTCTCTTCCCACCCACTTCACGTGCAGCAGATTTCCTGCATGTGCTGAAGTGTGCCGAAGGGACGGGGCTGTGTTGGCTGAGGCCAAAAACCTCAGAAATGTGACCTGAAACATCTGTGTCCATAGGGAGGGAGATTGAATTAGGTTTACATAATTTATTTCTATGGTTTCTTTTAAAGAGAGCTTTTCAGCTTTCTAGTGTGCCTTGTGTCAACATCACAGAGGCGTCCTGTAGGAAATAATCTCTTTCCTCCCATGAAAATACTCTTAAGAAAGAGCAGTGTCCGTATGCTTACTGTGGCTTTCCTGAGCTCCTGTGTATTTCCTATCTGTTATCATCTTCTGAATGTGAGTACCCAGGATAGCTTTTATTTACTTAGCTTGGATAATTCCCTCAGTGTTCCTCCGTTTATTCTTTTAGCCCTGCTGAAGTTGTTTTGGAGGAGTGACTGTGAATATTTCAAAACAGAGCTTCTCTCTAAAGAAATAGCTATCTGTCTTGCCAGCGTAGCTTTTCAGAACTGCTTTTCTTTCTCTCTCTAAAACATTCGGGTCAGATGTTAACTCTGTATGTTAAATGCGAGTTTTCTGATGTTTGAACATAGTGACCATGTGTGAATGCAGCTCTTGTTTGATCTGTTGGCATTCCTTAGGGACTACTGGCTCTGCTGGCACATCTAAAAAGTAACGCGCTGCAATCCTTATTGGACTGGCATGTTTAGAAATGCCTCGGATGGATGGTGTTTTGTTATTTAATGAAAGGCAATTATATACTGCATTAGCTGTAATCTCAGCTGCCCTCAGCCAGATGCCAGTTTCTGCTGGAGCAACCATTTCATTCTTCTCAACCAGAAGAACTGGAGCCAGTTCTATCACTGCACAGTGTCCCCGATGATTCTGAACATCCATTAGTATGGCTGCTCTGTGTCTGTGTTTATTTTTGCAGCATGATGTTGCAATTGCATGACTTTGAATAGCACCACTGACCCTTAGAAATACCCATAGATCTGGTGTCTTGGATCCTGGCCTCAGAAAGACTAAAAGAGTTTAAAGATGTATCTAAGATACATATATGATGTATGCATTTCTACCCTAGCACCTGTTTGGCAGTTTTCCACCTGGACAGCTCTTTGTACAAACCCATAAGCTTCAGGAATAATGCCTACTAACCTTCCTTCAAGTTGAGGATCATCTTCATTCTCCTGTTTCTAGGAGAAACACCGTTAAAAGCCGTTCAGTTTTCCTGATCTTTATAATCCCACTATCCATATTTTTAGCTTATTTTGAAAGAAAACTGCAATTTGGAGGAGCAAACTCAGTGTCAATAGAGTTAGCCTATCTGACTTCATCTGCGCCTCTGCTTGACTACAGCATGCACTGAATCAGAGCAGTGTTTATCTAAGTTCTGCATTTGGACTTGTGTTTATTATACGCCAGCCGTATAGCAGTCATGGTGCTAATTTAAAAGGCTCAGAATGCAAAGAGCTAAAAAGGGAGTGCTGACCTGATGTTTGCGAGGAGTGTGAAACAGTTACAGTTTCACCCAAGTCTATGGAAACTAAATTCTTACTATAAAAAGAAGCAGTGTTGTTGTATCAGTTAGAAGCCCTTTGTTGTACACATTGGTTTGGAGCTGACAGGAGATAATATTTTCCTTCTCAAACTTTTGCTTAAACTTTAGATCTCCAATAATGTAAACTTTATGCCCTACTATTCACTCTACTATTCACAAGTATTGTCATTGTGGACTGAACTCACTTACGAAGTGGGTTAAGATGTATCAGGAGAAGGCAGAGCTGACAGCTGAGCAAATTACTCTTCTTGCTCTCAAAATGGCAAAGAAGAAAGAAGAAAGGCAGTGAGGAATTTCCTTGGAAAAATGTAGGAAAGGCAGTAAGTGCAGATAGCAGGTTTATCAGGAGAGGTAATCATTTACTTTCCCAGGTGAAAACTTCCTCTGCTTCTTAATCCTTGGCTCATTATATAGAGAATGATGTGTGCTTGGAAGGATCACATGCTTTCTGGTCTTATAATAGACCACAGCAGTGATGTTTTTGTCACACGTGTACAGTGGCAACTGAGAAGTGGTAGGGTTTGCATTGTAGTTTCCGTGGTTTTTTTGTTGTTGTTTGTTTGTTTTTTAAGCTTTTAAATAGTTATTAGCTGTTCCTTTGTTAATTAAAAATGGGAATCTTGATAAAAAAGTTGAATAGACTATGCTTAGAAATAGCAACATAGATTGAGAAAGAATTATTTACCATACTGCTGGCCAGAAATAATTTTTTACTGTTAGACATCCTCTCATATTTGTGCTTCATACTCAATAGCCAAAGTCTTCATCCTTCAGTCCTTGAGGATCTCAAGGAACTTGGGGGTCTGAATAACCAGAGCAAGTTACAGAATGATGAGGTGAAGTGACTTAGAATGTCCTTGATTCTAAAGACATTCTAAGGATTCTAGAATTAAAGTCTGTGAGCTGCATAGACTTGAATGAAAGCCTTCTCATAGCATTGCTGTAATGTTGGCCTACTTCTGTGAAACCTCTAAGAATACAATTTTGGATGGATTCCCAAACAGCAAAGTGTGTTTTTTCCCCCCTCCTTCTAAGGATACAAGAAAAGAGAGTTTCTTCTGAGTTACTGACGGAATGGAGATTCCTTCCTTGAAATCAGTGAAAATCAGAAGGTATTTAGGGGAACGTCCTTACACCTTGTTGTGATGGCTGCCTGATAGTGGGATGGGTGATGACAAGGCACTGTGCTTGCATTACAGTGTTGGGATTGTTTCAAATATCCTCTGGTTGTCTATGTTTTACTGAACATGCTGGGTACTGCAGACTACGTGATGCTTCTTTGTACTGGTCTCCAAAATAGAGTTGAAAGGTGTTCCTCAGGATCTTTGCTATGGTCATATAGATACAATTCCAGTTGAATAATTTGTCAGCCACTCTTTGTTTCAAGTTATGTTCATCAAATCGGTGATACTGCTCAAAGTGTTGTTTTGGTGGCCAAAGTAAGCTGTACTCTGAGTTGAGCTGCACTGCATGCAGCTGAAACTTCCTGGAGTCATCCTGGTAGCATCTTTGAAGGTACTTGAGAATTGCAAATGATTGATTTTGTTCTCTCTATTTTAATTAGGCATAACTAATAAATTATCAGAGATAATTTATTCTTCTTCAAGGGTATGTCATTTATAAAATTCAAATTAATATGAAAGAATTTTAACAGCTTATGTGATTCCCATTGGATGAGTGTTTGTGTTTTTCAAGGGTCTACCTGTCTAGAATTCATATGAGGGTTTTGTTGGGTAGGGCTGGAATGAGCAGAAGTAGAGTATATTTGTGTTATAAGAAAGATGATTGCTTGTGAACTAAGGGATATTCTTGCATATTTTCTTGCTGAATTTATTATTTATTATTAAATTCTTATACCAGTATCTGTAAATAAGAGATCTAAAAGAAAGGTATGGGCTCCTTTTATTTCTTGCTTACTTGTGCTACTTCGTCTTTTTTCCTAATCTTAGAAGTGAGGCATAAAGCAGTGGTTTGATAGACGTGTACCAGCCCTCGTGTTTTGGTGCTGGCAGTAAGCAGAGCATCTACTAAGCCAAATAAATATGATCTAGTTGCACTTAGCATAATGCAGCATTTAATGAAATGTTTATGTTATTTTGGTGTCTTTTTTATTGTAGTAATGTACTTGTGTATACTCAGGTCATCATATTACTTGCTTAATTGACATCAAAATCCATGGTTTCTAAGAGACAAAATAAAACTGAAGTCACATTTTTGAAGTCTCAGTAATGTTTAAATGCTCCCTTTCTTCTAATTGCCGTGTGTTGAATGAGTAATCAAATGTACACTCTAAAATACCAACTCTTATTCTATTGAAATCTTAAATTCTGACATTGTGCTTATTTTCTGTTTCCTATTTAGATGATACCTGAAGATGCTTC